GGCCGGGCCGGGCCGGGCCACCTCCGCCCTGCACGGGGGGGCGACGGCTCCGGCCCCGGGCCAGGCCCCGGCCGGGGGGCGGACGAAACCAACGGACTTGGAACCAGCTCCCGAGGGGCGGGAGGGGGCAGGCTCCATCCTTGCAGGGGTTTGAGGCTGCTCCCCCTGCCCCCACCCTTGCTCTGTGAGCGGGGGAGGCCCTGGTGAGACTCAGCCCTGCTGCTGCCTCGGGGGGGTGGCACCTGGGTGCAGGGACAAGCAGAAAGCACCCCCCAAGAAGCCAGGGACGCTGCCCAGAGACATGACAGCAAAACCGTCCCCCCCCAGTGCCCAGGATGCCTGAGCCTGGTCGGAGAGACGGTGAGCGTGGCCGTGCCTCTGGCATAATTTCTGGACCATCGCGGCCGCCAGATCAGTCTCACGCTGCAGATCCTTGGGAAACGTCCCTGCACCCTCCCAAAAGCCCTTCCAAAGCTGCACGGAGCAGCTGCATCTGGGGGCTGGGGCCCGGCAGCGCCACCCATGCAATGGCACGAGCAGCTGGCAGGACCCCGTACAGGCCTGGCTGCCCAGCGCTGGCAAAGACACAGGACGTCGGATGGAAAGCCCAAGATGAAGAGAACAAATGCGAACAAGACAACAGACTGCTGAAGCGAAAGTGTCGGCATCTTGTGTGCTCTTGAAGCGGGGACAAATCGCTGCGAAAGGGGCTGGTGAAGGATCCACAAGTTAATCAGGGAAGTGACATTTAAAAAAAATAAAATGTCCTTGCCACGTAGCAAACTCCAAGCCTCTCTGCTTTTTGTGTCCATCTGTTCAGTTAAAACACTCCTTCCTTGAAGTGTGAAACTCCCGGTACACTTCAGCGAAGCAGTTGGCTGCATTTTGGAAAGGAAGCGGATGAGAGAAGTATTGGACAGAGATCAAATATTAAGCCGGAATTCGGGCCTCCAACCTGCACACATTGATGTACGTGTTTTAAGTACGTGGATCGTCACATTCCAGTCGATGGGACTAACTTCAAAGCACGTGCATAAGCGTTTGCAGAATTGGGGCCTCAAACATCCTAGCCCAGGTTTGTAAAGTTTGCCCAAGCATCCCCGTGGCACATTTTACAAACCACTAGGTATCTCCAAGGCTGGATTCCTGCTTTCGCCCCGGCACAGCCCGTTCTGCTCCTGCACCTCCGTCCAAACTTGCAGACGGCTCCGGCAGTGGCAGGTTCAGGTGTCCTGCCATCCTGCAGAGCAGAGCTGGGGGAAATGCTGCACATTTAGATGACATTTTGAAAGCTGGAAAAAGGCTGGGGAGCGTTGCAATGCACTTTTTTGACCGCGTCTAGACCGGGCCTGTTTCGAAGCCAGGTTGATTCTCCTGTCTGTGCTTCGAGGTCGCCGCGTGTGCAAGGCGTTGCAGGATCTGAAGCTGTGCGGAAGTTAAGGAAGAGGAAGTCAAGGCTCGACCCTTTGCTCTCCGAGGGGGGCTCTGCACAGTCGCACTCAGGGGCTGGGGTGGGCTGGTGCTGCTCAGCTTGTCCTAGCAGAGGGCTCACAGCTTTCCCTTCTTTCCCTCCATGCTTTTCAGGGGGAGGCTGTGAAAGCGGATGTGAAAGGGCAACCTTGGCCACTTCAGCTCCTTTCCCCATCTCCTGAGACACGTGTCCTGTGACTGTGCAGAGCTCATCCACATAGGAAATAACCTTCAATCCTTCTTGTGTCCTCTACGTATTCCCTGGCGGGTGGGATTCAGGGTTGTAACAGAGCTGGGACTGACGGCGTTGCCTGACCAAGCAAGCACTGGTTGGCATACATATGCGCTGAGCTCCCGAGCTGCAGATCTCCGCTTGAAACGTGCTTCTTTTTCTATTGGATTTATATGCCACCCTCTTTTTACAAAGACTCAGGGTGGCTTACAGAAGAGAGCAAAATAACTTGTAACAATCAGGAAACGAGAAAAAAAAACAGGAAAAATAAAATAACTTAGAAAAGCCAATAGAGTAGTGAAATAAGCTAAACGCCTCTAAACAATATCCAAGCTCAGCCTGGCCTGTTAAATACCTGCCCAAGTCGGACGAAGCTCTTGCAGCGCTTCTGGAAGATGTCTGGGCTTGGGCTGTGGCACGTCTCGAGGAGGAGGGCGCAAAGTCTCTCCCCAGATCGGGACAGATCGTCCTTGTCTGCTTTGCTGCCGGATCCAAGATGCTTTGGACAGTAACGGGGGGCAAACAGGTCTATGTCTGCAAACTCACGTAGGTGCAAGAGGTCAGCGTCCACCCCTGCTTTCTTGACTGCCCATTTTTGCTGCCTGTCAAGTCTCTACTTAGTCGGCTGACCGAGTTTTCCTTTCCAGCTGGGTGAGGCGCTAGGGAAACCCTTGCTTTTGGGTGCATTACTGATGAAGTGCCTTTATAGCCAACTGAAGCCTCAACACAGCAGAAAAGCCTGGCCTTCCCGAGCGCTGAGAACTGTTCCCATGAAAAAGCATAATGGACTTTTTTTTGTATTTATGGATGCTCCAGACCTCTCAAAGAGGGAACACACAATGAAAGTCCTCGAGAGTCTCCTGCAGTGCCAGTTTATAGCGTTCACGTCCAAAATCAACCTTTCTTGATAAAGACGATGCACTTCCTTAGATGCACACCCAGCGCAGCCTCTCTCTGCTATGGGGAAACATCGCCAGTAGCAATCCTCACCTCTGGTTTCCTTTGGCACTTCCTCTACTGCTGCCGCTCGCAACAGGAACTACATTTCTGATCTGTGAGACATGGACCTGAATAGGGAAGGACAAGAGGGCAGGGAGAGGTAGGAGCCCAGACTGCATTTTGCAGCCAGAATGCTCTAGTTCGATGTTACATTTCGTAGTGGATGTTATGGCCACGTGCTGATTGCGTGAGAGAGTTTACTTAGTCTCTGACGGCACATCCTATGTTGGGTATCGAGTGGGAGTTTTCCCTGTTGGCAGAGGTGGGAGTTTTACCATCGATTTGTGGCTGACTTGCATACAGAATTGTAAAGCATCCTCTGGAGCAGCAGCACCTACTTCAATATTTTCATTTGGTGACAAGCCCATTTCTTCTTCTGGCTCCAAGCGCCGTCTTCCTCCCAAGGCACACACTCATCTTCCTCGTAGCAAGAGACACTTGCCCTGAAGTCTCATGCCCTGAAACCACGAGAAGTGGCTGGATCCCAGCATGCGCAGACTGGGCAAGCTTTCTCCCGTCTCGGGGAGAAGATGCTGTATCCTTTCGAGGCTGCTTGGCTGGCGGCTGAGATGACCAGGTAGCTAGGAGTGGGAGTTGCAGTCACTGTACATTCCTGTCCTGTTCTGGGCAGTGTACAGCAAGGAGGTCTGCCTGCTAGAAGTGAAATCTAAAGAAGGAAGCCTATCCAGGTCCTGTTCGTCTTTGGACTGTGGATGCAATCTGGAAGCTAATATAAAAACCAGAGGACTTGGCAAGTATAACATAGCAAAAGGTGCAACAACTTCACTAAGTGCACCAAAGAGTGTTTCCAAGGGAGAAAAGTCTCTAGAGAAAACGGAGACAGTCCATCTGATCTCTAACGTTTCAGGAGCAGAGCTCCAAGGAGGATAATGAGAGGGAGCACGCTTTCTTTAGATACTGAAGCTTGCATAGCTGGGCTGTGATCCAACTGTGGATCTGCGAGATACTATTTCACCTGCAGCAGCAACTTGTAGCTGAGCTAATCGGTGATGAAGAAAGAAACACTTGCCAGGTCTGATGCAATCCACGGGTCTGTTAGGTGATCGGGATTGACCCTGACCGGTACTCCATCCATACCCACAGGCATCCAGTGGATGTTCTCAGGCCTACTGCAAAATCCGGCTTTAGGCTTCTTTTTGCTGTCAAATTCGAAGTGTTTGGAGGCAAACATGAGGCAGGCGTGGAGCTTGGTCCCAAAGCCAGGATCGGAGGTTTCTGCAGGGTGCTCTTCCTTCAAGCTAGCCGTACTGGAGCAGACAGCACCCTTTATTTTGGGCTCTGGTTCTTTGAGACACCAGACCCAAGAAGCTTCACTGCCCAGGCTGCTTGCGGTCTGCTCTTTGAGCTCACCTACCCCTGGGAACAACGCGGTGCAAACAGACCACCTCCAAACGAGAATGCCAAGCAGCCAAGACATTGGGAAGACCCCTGGCACAACGTGTGCTGCTTAAAACGGGGTCTTGGCTTGCGGTCTGCCATGATCCTTTCTATCCTGATGCTGCTGACTGTCCCAATCGCGTATGGCACTGTGATTCTTGAGTCACTGCTATGGATGACAGGGATAAAAAGTGTAAACCGAGAGGGTGCCGTGGCCCTGTGGCACCGTGCCCTCTGCACACTGCATTGCGTGGACTTGCCAGCGGCGCACAGGTAGCCCCATCAAAAGAACTGCATCGGCCAGTGCCTCCCCATGGGTGAAAGCCCGCGGAGGACGCTCAAGAAGCCAAGTTCCTGTTTTCGGAAAATGTGACAGTGCGACTGCTGGTAACGGAGCACACGAAAACCAGGAAGCGATCCTTTGCATTTCTACTAGCGCAATGTTTTCTGACCAAAGCACAAGGCAGGGCGCTGGAGCAACCTGGGGGGCAGCATACCGTGGGCCCCTCTATATCTAGTGGACACACTGTGGAGACTCAGGCTTTTAGCCCCGGAGAGCCCTCCGCTTTCTGGTGCGACCGCCATGCGAGGGGCTTTCATACTGGCTCTATGAAAGGAATGAAAAGTTTCATCTTTCAAGGATCAAAGGCTGGATAAATTATACATGTGACGTGCAGAACATGGAGGATTCTGTAACGACGAGAAAGAGCAGCTGGGGACAGCAAAAGGCCTGGTGTGAGGTTGGATTTCAGTGTTACCAAACCCTCTCAAAATCACGAGTTGCTTTCAAAAACCTCATGATTTTTCAGGCCAACAACACACTCTGGGTTCTTTCCCCTTGCTTTATGGATGCTTTTGAGCCTGCAGCATTCATATATTATTCAAGCTCTTTTCTCCCACATGCTAAAACTCTCATTTGTATTTTTTTAAATGAGAGCTGAAACACCCAGGTCATCACACGACTCCAGGAGCTGGGGATTTCAAAGAAAATGTCAACAGTCACAAGAATCAGGATAAAAAAAATCAGAACTGGCAAACGCTGCCTCCACGCCCTGATCAGGTTTCTTTTGGCTTCAACGAGCAACTATATTTTCTCTGAAAACGAAGCTGTTGCAGCCGGCAGCAGGTTTCCAGCACCAGATTGCTGGGAAACAACAGGTTGAGGAGACAGTTTTGGAAATAACAGAGCTGTGTGCTAGTCAGCTGAGGAAGGGCTTTGAAAAGCAAGCAACTCTCCTTACACAATGTAAAGCTTCAGGTGAAAAGCAGCAGCACTGGCTGGCTCTTCTCCTTTTGCCCTGGAGTACACGATTCGTTCCCAGCAACAACTGTGGACGGTTATTGCCTGCGCAGGAACTGAGAACTGCATTTCCCCCCCCGCCAAACCAACCATTAGGAAGTCGGCGACGATTTTGAAAAATGACGGCTGCTTTCTGTGGGACGTTGCCGATGCAAAATACAACAGGGCTTTTCTTTATTAATGGCATTTTACACTAACTCAAGGGAGGCCGCGCAGCCAGAGTGAGCACATGCAGCAGAACAGCTCCTGACTCATTTTCATACCCTGCGGCAGCTCGTTGTGTAAGAGCACACGCGAACACACAGCCTGCGCCGGGGCACAGGGACTGGCCTCGCTTAGTGACAGGAAGGCTTGGGGGGATACAAAGACCTCATTCTTCTGTCCCTCCTCCCTTCCTTCTGTCCTTTGGCAGGACTCAGGCTCTGTGTAAGAGTATATGTACGAGACGCAAATGTATAAAGTTGCCCTTTGTGAAACGATCCTTTGCAAGGGAAGACACGGTATCAATCTACAACGCTCTGATTGTTATCATCCGATCCAACTAGTTAACGCGGGGTTGAAAACGGGGTGACCTCTCCCAACACTGAAAAAAATTATTCACCGGTCCAACCAGCTTACTAGCATGCACTAGGAAGACCGTCGTTATATTTTTATACATTCCTACTTCAGCATTTTGCTTCGTATCAGAGGCTTGAAGGGCAATATGTTCAACTCTGAGGCATTATATATTCCACCACTAAAACCTTGTGCAGAGCCCCTGTCCAGAATATTAAATGATCCAGGCTCTCATGCATGTTGCTAACATAAGAGATTAACAGTAACTTCGGTTTCCTGGCACCTGGCTTCATTTAGGAATAATTACAAAGCAAACAATTAGTAGAGTGGAAAAAAAAAAGAATATAATGGAGACTAGTAGGATGACTTACCTCTACTTTCAGGACTGCACAGCTTTTCAAGAACTCCTGAATGTTTCCGATGCAATCCTCTTCATTTTTGGGCTCCAGACAATACTAAAGAAGCAAAATCCCCCATGGTTACTGTAGTACCTTCAGCGCAGTCTGCATGCTGGATGTTTGACATGTGTGTGATCTACGCCAAATTAGGGAAGCTTATTTAGGGGGAGGATGGGGGTGGCAGGCAAGCTGTTGAACCAGGAAGAAAGAGCCACTGGAGGAAGTGATGCATAAATCTAAATGGTCGGCATCTTGTTTTTGAACGTCAACACATGACAGTGCCCTAAGTGACAGTGAGAAGCTAATGACCTTTAAGAGCACGCTGCCCCAAAGCACCAGGCATGCCATCAGAGGGGCACATCAGCCAGCACAAGTGCCGTTTCCGAAATAAAAGGTTCCCGTTCTGTGAGGAAGGAACATACTGTTTCTGAGCCTTTTACTGAACAGCCTTTTTTCTGTGTGGCCATTTCATTAGCTCTGATCAGGATCCTTCCTCTTTTCCCCCTTGCTTTTTGTTGCTGATTTAGGCTGCCTGTTTATGTACCCAGGAAATGGATGTACTGATTAACGAGACATTTGAGACGGATTAACTCAACGTACTGGATTGGCTGATAATGGTGGGGATGAAAAGTGCTTTTATTTCTGCTCAAGTCTGGTTTTTTTACCTGGTGGGATACAGAAAAATAACATCACCTGGCTGCTTTACATAGTTGCACAGTTGTATTTACCTAGTTGTATTTAAAGCTCAACTATTCATGGTCTGCATTATTTCCATCGTGCTTCTCAAGCAGGGTGCTGCAGCACCCTGGGGTGCCATAAGATCCTTTGGAGGGTGCCAGCGGATGCTGGACAATATTAGCACCCTTAAATGTAATAAATGGAGTTTTTTAGGAAGATCGATCAAGCTAAAATGGACTTCTGGTAGATTAAACGTTTTCACTTTTCAAACGGAAGAGCCCACATAAGGCAACCGACTCGAGCATAACTGCAAGTCACACGCACAATACTGTTGCCTGATTCTGCCCAACAGAATAATTTATCAGCCAATCAAAGATAATAATTCGGTCACAAGATAAAATACTCAAGTCCCTCTGAAACAGGCCTTCCACCCCAGAAAAGAAAAAGCCAAAATGCATGGCACCTCCCGCTAAAGTAGACCACTTTGGGTCCACCAAGACAGGTCCTGCAGCAGTGCTGCGCCGCTGCCATAGTAGGAAGTGAGCAATGGATTATACGAGCCAGGTCGTTACCTTTTCCACAGATCCTGGAAGCAGCCGATTCATCAACTTGCAAAGCACGACCCCGTCTTTCAGGGAAGTTTTCAGGAATCCCTCTGGATCACTGATGATCTTTTTGGGGGAATTCAAAACTCCTAAGGAAATAAGCCATGTCACCGCTTGCTCTTCTGGGTTCATTGCTGACAATTCTGCCTCCAGTGCCGATCTTTTGTGCAGCAGCGAGGTCTAATCTAACCCACATCCGTGATTGCCTCTTCCTGCCTCTTCTAGGGCTTGCAGAGCTAAGGCTTGACACTTTTTTTTTATTTTGCATGGAAACCCTCTGACTTCATGGCTTCAATACCAGATTAACCCCAATTAAAGAAACATGCTGTGTCTTATAGTTTCTAGTCCTTGGTGAGTTTGCTTAAATATACTGAAAGTAGATCTCCGCATTACACATTTGCAGCATGGCAAGGTGTAAAGGTTAGATCTTGCTCTAGTTACGTATTTCAACCACAGTTGCTTTTCAACTTTGAAAATGTAACAAAGATTTCTAATATAGTTTAATACTAAAACTTTCATTTTCAAAATCCTCTATCTATATATATCAGTTTAGTTGCATTGTAAGATTTTTCCTTTCCAGATCCTGTATAATTTTTTTCAAATTTGACCGTGAATAAAGGGGTACACGATGTTTTGTGGAAAAATTGTATAACAGTTAATAAAACAAAACTGCCTCATGACAGGCGTTCAAGAGGTTTCAACCAGCTTTTCAGGACACCACTATATGAACCATAAAGGCATATGGGTGTGAGATACTGCACTCAGTTCTGGATGATGATATACGGTGTAATCAGACTCTCTTATAAGCCAAGTACGGAGAGTTAGAAAGCCCGAGGCTGAATCCACGCAGTCATTGCAGGTTAGTCCAAGCTGCGGAGATTGAACTGATAAGCAGGTGAACAGACATTCACTTCTGATTCCTGAACTGCAGCCACCTGCCTGCAGTGGCCCAGGCCAGAAGCTGCAGGACACTAGAGCACGCCCCCCTGCTTGGCTGGAGCAGATGCTTGGGCCAAGGCTAGTCTGCCTACCCTCCAAGGTGGGGAGTTGAGGGGGAGGTGCAAAGCATCCTGGGATGCTGGGGGACTGTAAATTAATTTGGAACTGGGATAGAAGTTAAATGAACCGATTTAACCCAAATCAGTTCAGTCAGATGCTACATCCATCCAGGTTCATCTTAAACCGGGTTTGGCCATTTTGAAAGTGGTTTACACACACTGAATTTGTGTTGCGTTGCAGATCTGAACCGGTTTCCGATCACTTATACCGGTTTATGTGCAATTTCTGTCCTAGCCTGTACAAAAAGCCTGACAGTGTAACTGCAACTGTTATCACCCAAGACACTAATTTAGAAGCAGGCAGCTGGCCTTTCTTCAAATCTGTTCAAAACTGACCCATCTTGGCAGAGCTGAAAACCTAAATTACTTGCAGCAGCAACCTCAGACTTCCAGGTGATTGAGAAGGTATCTGGGGCAGTGAGGCTAGGAGCCAGCAAAGTTGCACAAAATAGTTGGGCCCAGGAACCCAGCTCCTTCAAATCAGTAACTCGACCCTCCAAGTTGTATGTAACCCTGCTCTTCAGGAAGCAGCCCTCTGTAAAAATAGCTTTAGGTTACAGATTGGGAGCTGCAGGCCTATAGCTGGAGATGGCTATTTTCATGTCATCACCTCTGAGGAACTATTCAGACATAGCTGGAAAATAATGGAGGACCATACACAAAAACATGGAGGCAGTTACACGAGCAGTTTTATGCCTGGAAGTTGTAGCGTACCTCCTTGGTTGGCCCCGAGAACCCAGGAGCCGATTGTCAGACTGGGATGCTTACAGCTCAAGGGTTTAAATGACAGGTATTTACATATGGATGACATCAACGCTATTTCCCTTCTCTGTCATTAGCCAGTGTTCTCAACTTCCCCCTGCGATTTAGGTGCTGCCCAAAGCCAGGACTAGGAAGCACCACTAAGAAACTTCAGGTTCCCATCCTGCAGTGACAAAGCTGCGCCTGCTTTTACATTTTTCAGGAAGGCCCGAGGTTTCCCCCGACACATCCCCCATCTGTAACTGGCCTATTACGATCATAGAAAAGGCAGGCTAGATGGGCCATCTATTCCAGCCCCCTGCTCAGGACAGCGTCATCCTTGATGAAACCATCCCAGTCAAGCATTTATCTAACCTGCTTTTGAAAATGTTCAGGGATGAAGATGTCACTGCCTCTCCGGGTGGCCTGTTTCAATGCCTGACCATGCTCAGGGTCACAAGATCCTTCCTAATCTCCAACCTGACTGTCCTCTGCTGCAGCTTAAGACCACTGCTCCTGGTCCTGTCTCCTACAGCCAGAGAACAGTTTGGTCTCTACCCTTTATAAAATCACTATTCAGGTATCTGAAGATTGCTATTAAATTCTCCAGACTAAATAAGCCTAATTTTTTCAGCCTTCCCTCATACATTTCCCAAGCCCCTAATCATTTTTGGCACAGTCTGCTGGACTCTTTCCAGTCTGTTCACACCTTACGTCAAATGTGGGTCTCAAAACTGGACACAGTACCCCAGGTGAGGCCTCCCCAGTGCTGAACACAGCAGAAGGATCACTTCCCTTGATTTGCAAGTGACCCCCCTGTTAATATAACCCAGGATGCCGTTGGGTTTTTTTGCAACAAGGGCACACCAATCTCTCATTCATCTTATTGCCATCATTCATCTTATTGTCCACCGCAACCCCCAGGTCCTTCTCTACAGTGCTGCATCCAGCTAGTCATTCCCCAGTCTGTGCTTGGTGTGAAATAACTGCGTGAGTAAGTGCAGGATTTGGCACTCTTTGCTGAATTTCATTTGATTTTGTTCCTCCAATGTATCCAGGTCCTTCTGAATCCTAGCTCTGCGCACCAGTGTTTGCAACTCCACCTAACTTGGGGTCGCCTGCAAATTTGGGAAGTGTGTATTCTATCCCATCATCCAAATTGTTGAGTGTGTTAATACCAGATGAGCTATGGAGAACCCCTTGATAACCTCCTCCTTGCCCGACATTGAGCTGTTGATGACTGCTTACTGAATACAATAATCTAATCACTTATGTATCCATCTTACAGTACTTTCAACTAGTCCATATTTCTTTAATTAATGAAAATGTCATTGAAAAGTCTTGCTAAATAAAGTCAAGGGATGTCACAACTACTGCTCTCCTTCTACCCATAAAACATGTCACCTTATCACAGAAGGAAATCAGACTGGGCGGAGGAAGAGCAGGCCAAGCCAGCCTCCAGCTCTGAATGAGCACAGCAGGAAGAGGCAGTGGGTATTAGAGGGCTGGAGAACAGTTGCCCAGCACTGCAAAGGCACCCCAACTGGGGTAGGCACAGCAGGAGACTCCCTTTTCACTGTGATCTTTCTTTAACAGAAGCCCCATTTAATTGCTTACTGCTCTTTTCACTTCCAAAGGTTATGCACCCTTGTGTTGTAGGTATTATAGCTTTTAACAGCAGCAGCCCTAGAACCAGAAGCCAAAACTGTTCCCCCTCATCCTCCCTCAAACACCCGTTGAGCACTCAGTAGGACAAGCCTTTCAGAGAACTTGAGCTTCTAAGGTGCGACAAGCTGACCTCAAATCAGCTGCTTCTGAAAATGTTTTAACCAACTGTACCCAATTAATTGGAGAAAACTTGGTTTCTGTAGCCCACTGGTACAAGTGCTGCAGCAGAAGCATGTGACGACTTTATTGGATTTGACTTAGTTCAGATTCAAAGCCAATAGATCACAACCGAGTCCATGCATTTTCCACTGTAATTTCTCACCATGTGGGGTGTCAGAATTTCAGCTTTAGGCACAAGGCGACTTCTGAAATTCAAGAGGAAGGTGGGAGGCAGTTCTTGTGATAAACAGATTGCGCTAGATTGCTCTCCTGAAGTGAGCAGAAAACAACAGATGCCGGTTGGCTTTAGAGTCATTTCAAAATCACTGGTGTGGACAAGGCAAGTCTGTTACCGCTCAGCCTATTGCGAGGGTCTCAAAGTTGGTTCCGATTTTCAAGGCTAATCCTGGCAGGTTTGGGGACCAGCCCCTTTGAAAGAGGCAAGCTTAAGGGCTGAAAAGTAGCATAAAGAAATTCTAAAGCTATGTTTGAAGGACCCCAGCAGAAAGTTTTATTTCAAGGGTGTGAACATGTGACACTTAAACTGCCCAGAATAGCACTGACTGGGATTCAGCTTGCAGCTGATAAGTAAGCACCAAAACTCTGGAGGAGTCTGGGCACCGAGGACTTGGGCTGTCTGCACTTTTCTGCTTTCTCTTCTCTCGACGAGTCTAACTTCAGTAACCCGCACATGGCTAGTTTGCAGTATGCTTGCCTGGCTTAAGTGACCACGGGGCTGGGGGGCATACTCTGTACTCAGTGGCAGCTCCTCAGTGAAGGACACGGCTAGATGCTAGGGTACCTTTAGTGAACATGGTGCAAGGGAGCCTGATTAGAAGAGCTCTGGCTGCATACTAGTGGTGGGCATAGGAGGCAGATCCTTGTTATAGATCCCATCTACACAACCACACACAACACTGACCCAGTTCAAAACAGTACTTGATTGTCCAGGTGCACTGCTGAACCATCACAGGCTGATCTAAAAGCTTGACAGGTCTGCCTCAGGTTTCAAGTTGCATTTAAACCCTTCTCGATACTGTATGCCCATGGCCCAAGCAGCTCCTTAAATTTATCTGTTTGAGGTCAGCCAAGGCCTCCCCCTAATGGCTATTTGGAAAACAGCATTCATTTATGAACAGTAACTCTCCAAAGTCAGCATACAGCAAGATGTACACATATCCAGCTATGTTTAGATCAACATAAAGAATCGCACTGGTCAGAGAGAAGGCAAAATGCTTTAGCAGAGGAATTTAAGAGGCTTTATTTTTACTGGGGGGGGGGCTGGGAAGGGGGAACAA